CGATGCATGGTGAGATGGTGCTAGTTGCGTTCAAACTCGACTGGTCGGTAGATTAGTAGTTTTACGATCAATTCCATAGAATCGTTGATCCGTCGAGAAACAAAAACCTTCTCTGACAAGATCATATTAACGTATACGCTATATAGTTTGAGGCTCCACTTTTCAGCTGTTCGAGGTTCATGACACACTCAAACAACCGGTGAATGCGACCTCTCAGTACGCTGTGTATCAGCATACAAACTCATGGAGTTCAACTCTAAGGGTCTACACTCATACCCTTAGCTCCACTAGTCACTTCTTACAGAAGGGTGCTCCAATCAGGCTCGCTAATATGTGTTATGAAGTAATCCACTCGGCTCTAGCCATTAGCTAATAGCTATTGTGATTCACTGTCTAAAGTGATCACTCTATTGTCATAGTGTACTCAGTTGGTAAGTGAAATTTGAGGGGGTTTCTGTATAGCATCAGTAACCTGATAGGTGTGTAAGCTCTACAGGCTGATGTTTTTTGTTCCTCTCATCTTGGAGGGAAGTGTTCCATGGTGTACGTTTATTGTCTTCAGTTATTTTTTGTTATTACGTGCTTAACATGTCGGTGACGTCAACACTTGCTATTGCGCTTGTCTCATACTTCAGCGTGTCCTTGTCTACGGCAGAACAGGTTGTTCTGGCTTCTGAAATTTCGGGTTGTCCTGTCGGTGATGCTTACTGTGATTCTATTATGCCCGGATCCTATTGCAAGTACTGGAGTACTCCTAGTTACTGCCAGAGCGATCGACGTTTGATAGAGGATTCTGAGACGCGTCAGCTGTGGGAGAGTATCCCATGTGATTGCACTTCGACTCCTCCGACTACTACCACAACTCCTCCGACTACTACCACAGCTCCTCCGACTACTACCACAACTCCTCCGACTACGACCACAACTCCTCCGACTACTACCACAACTCCTCCGACTACTACGACTACAGCTTCACCATCTACAACTGCTTCCAGCGTTGCGGAGTGTCCTGTCGGTGATGCTTACTGTGATTCTATTATGCCCGGATCCTATTGCAAGTACTGGAGTACTCCTAGTTACTGCCAGAGCGATCGACGTTTGATAGAGGATTCTGAGACGCGTCAGCTGTGGGAGAGTATCCCATGTGATTGTCCTTCGACTCCTCCGACTACGACCACAACTCCTCCGACTACGACCACAACTCCTCCGACTACGACTACAACTCCTCCGACTACAGCTTCACCATCTACAACTACTTCCAGCGTTTCGGAGTGTCCTGTTGGTGATGCTTACTGCGATTCTATCATGCCCGGATCCTATTGTAAGTATTGGAGTACTCCTAGTTTCTGTCAAAGCGATAGGCGTTTGAGCGGGGGCTCTGAAGCGCGTCAGCTTTGGGAGAGTATTCCATGTGAATGTATCTGATCTCTCGCTAGCAAGGTTAATGCTGAGTAGTTTACGTTCAACTAATGGTTCAACTTTTCATTTTAATCTCATATCTCTTAACTCAACTCTTGAAGTAGTAGAGTCTTACACCCAGGATGTTCTGACAATTTAGTAATCTCCATATCTGGCTTGTTGGGTCCGTTAGTGTATGGGGTAGAGGGTTGCACAGTCGACTGATATAGACCAGTGAATATTTGATAGTCTTGAGGTGCAATAGAGCAAAGTTATTGGAATGACGAGGGGAACGTATGAGAGATTACTTGCGAGGACACTGGAAGATTATCGTCATGAACGAGGAATCCTCTTCCACTCTGTCACTTCGCCATTTCATTAGGTCAGCTCCCACTGGAAGCCTTCCAGGGTTAATGTTATCGCATACAAGGCTACCAGAGGAATCACTGGCCTCAACATAAAAGTGTTCGCCCATTAAAGTTGGAGTATTTCTTACATATTCACTGTGAGAGGGCTATTATGAGTACCATGTTAAGCAAGTTTGAAATGTCTCATGAGTGTTTCCGCTGATCAGACTGATGCTGTTTCACAGGATAAGGTTTCGCGTTGACAAGAATGACCATCGAATGACTGGGATTACAATCTCTGTTATACTGGTATCAGGGATTGCGCCCCTTATCACAATGAAATATCCACTTTTGTTAAGGGCACATTCACGATCCTGAATGGGCGTCGTCCTCTGTCCCCCGGCGCAAAGCTTGCTGTATCGTAGCCACGGCTAGCCTCGAGGATACCAGGGGCTGTCAGTCAGTCAACAAAACTCATCGTCAAATGAGATCTTCAATGCTCTTCAATCAGTTTTTTCATTGATTGTGTAGGAATGCTTTCATTCGTCTTGGTCCTCTTGGCCTCGGTTGGCTTGAGTAGAGCCGTCCTGTCTGCACCTCGTGATCGTCTAGATCATGATCACTGTACAGCTACTGCTGTTGATTGTGCCGCTACCGCTGATGGTGGGTGCATTGCTGCGACAAGCGCTGATGGAAGTCCTCTCGACTTCCGAATGGTTTATGTTCCTCCGAAGACTTATGGACCTGGTGAGAAGAGGGCTGTCTACAAACAGTTTCAAAACTACCCGAGAATTGTTGATGCCTCTCGAGCCCCGAGTTATGCTCCCACCTCTCCCGACCAAAAGCCGAGTGTACCTATCGGTTACATTGACATGCCGGAAGGGACGACTTACGGGTATTGGGATGCCGCTTATGGTGTTATGAATGAAGCCGGTTTATCGATGGGTGAGAGCAGCTGCAGTGGACGTTTGGGTTCTGTTCCGAAGGGAGACGGCCCGAACGGTAGCGGCGCCTTGTTCTGGGTGGGTGAATTGTCTGATATCGCCCTCGAGGTCT